GCCCTGAGTCCCTTCAGGGAAAAGGGCGGCATACAAATAAATTCAACCAACCAACCAACCATAGGAAGCCGTTTTCACCCTCCAAAGGCTTCAGGAAAGCCTCCGGAGCCTGGGGAGGGTGAAAAACGGGCCCACGGGCCAACCAAAAGTTTGTTTCCAAATGGGCCGACCAGAAAAGCCTTTGGAGACTGGGGAGGGCAAAAAATGGACCCAACAAGCCAACCAGAATTTCGTTTCCGAACTTCCGCTTGGCCGTTGGCTTGTTTTTTGCCCTACCCAGGTTCCAAAGGCTTTCTTGAAGCCTGGAGAGGGCGAAAACAGCCTCCCCCGTCCCTCCGGAAGGCTGAAAATCAGCTGGATGGCACACAGATGACGGCTTTCATGCCAGCAAATATGGCTCCGTGTGTCACCTGTGGCACAGGTGCCATAGGTTTGCCATCACGGGCTTAAACTATAACTTAATTTTCTAGTGTTTTGCATCTGAAAGAAAGAGTGACTTGTGGCCATTTTTCAATGGTGGTGAAAAATGGCTGACGACTTCCAAGCAGTGGATGAATGAGCTGGAAGGAACCTTGGAGGTCTTCTAGCCCAGCCCCCTGCTCAAGCAGAACCTATACCATTTCAGATAAGTGACTGTCTAGACCAGTAATGGTTAACCCTTTTGGCACCGAGTGCTGAAACTGGAGCGTGTGCCGGAAGCCGGAAGAGAGTAGCTGGCCAATGCTCATGCGTGGGCTGGAAACCGGAAGGGTAGCTGGAAGTGGCATGCATGCCCAGAGAGGCTTCTGCATGCCACCTCTGGCACGTGTGCCATAGGTTCCCCATCACAGATCTGGACTCTTCTTAAAAACATCCAGTGATGGAGTTCCCACAATGTCAGGAGGCAATGCCTCTCTTTATGGAGCACTCAACATCTGGCAACTAATGGACATGGGCCAGTTCTTGTGTTGTCTCTTTTCTTTTAAAATTTTCTTCTTCTTAACATACAGTACATATAATCCAAAGTATACCATTACATCTTAACAAACATTTTTTCTTTAAATATTCAATATTATATCAGTTCCTCTTACCATCAAGCCACAACAACTATCACTTGCTCTTCTGCTTTCCATACACCATATCATAGTCTATTTCATCTTCGACCTAGCTCCTCTCCCTCTCTCCTCCTCCCTACCTCTTTTCTTCTCTCTGCCATCTCTCTCTTCTCTACTTCCCCTTGCTCTCTCCCTCTCCTGTCCCCTCTTTCCACTCCTTCCTTCTCTCCTACTCTTTTCCTCCTTTCTACTACTCTCTCTCCTATTTCCTCTCTCCCTCTTTCCCTCTCTTTTCTCCCTTCCACTCTCTAATTTGCATGGTCAGCATCTGAGCAAGCTCCATTTAATATTGGTGGTATTCATAATTGTATTCCAGAAAAGATTTTTCATATTGCTAATTTTGCATACCTTCTCCTTTTAAAACTAAACCTATATACAAGTTTCATTTGTGAGTTGGATTCAGGTTTCCAGCTATGCTCATAATACTATTACATAGTTATACATCATTACACGACCATACTTTTTAAGTCTCTTGTTATAATTGTAATTATATTGTCAGGTTTCTTAAAAATGCCCTAATGGATTCATGAGTATCGAGCCAAGTTTTGATACAAAACTAGACATTTATTAGGAGCACCATTAGGCAAGGCCTTTTCGCAGTCAGATCTGAGCTTCGTTTGAGTTGTAGCTGAACTTTATCCCTGTTCCTTCCCTCCCTTCAGCCTGTGTCATAAATCACATTGCCCAATGAGGTGCACCCCTCCCAAGCCTATTGCGG